GTGTGGAGAGTGTGTGAGAATGAGTTTGGAGTTACGCCGTGTTTTGGGTAAGTGTGGAGTTACGCCATGTTGAGAGTGAGTGTGGAGTTACACCATGTTGTGGGTGAGGGTGCATTTACGCCGTGCTGTGAGTAAGTGTGGGGTTAGGCCATGCTGTGAGTTACTGTGGAGTTACGCCATGTTGAGAGTGAGTGTGGAGTTATGCCGTGTTTTGGGTAAGTGTGGAGTTACGCCATGTTGAAAGTGAGTGTGGAGTTACCCCATGTTGAGAGTAAGTGTGTAGTTGCTTGTGTTGAGAGAGAGTGTAAAGCTACGCCCTGTTGTGGGTGAGTGTGGAGTTACACCATGTTGAGAGGAAGTGTGGAGTTACGCCATGTTGAGTGTTAGTATTGAGTTACGCCGTGTTGAGTGTGAGTGTGGAGTTACACCATGTTGAGAGAAAGTGTGGAGGTACGCCGTGTTGAGAGTGTGTGTGGAGTTACACCGTGTTGTGGATTGGGTGGAGTTACGCCGTGTTGAGAGTGAGTGTGAATTTACCCCGTGTTTTGGGTAAGTGTTGAGTTACGCCGTTTTGAGAGTGAGTGTGGAGTTACACCATGTTGAGAGTGAGTGTGGAGTTTTCCCTTGAATAAACAGCTGTCAGTTTAGACACTTGTGTATTTCATTGTCACACGCATGTTATAGATCACCCATTTTCAGAGAAAGTGACTCACTTTGATTGTATTCCGACCTGACGTTTACGATTTGAACAAGGTAACTCACTGCCATAGAAGGTTATCCATGCTGGTTCTATTGTGACATGCCACTTACAGTTGCACGGGTATCAATCCGTCAAAGCAAGTGGTGCACACTGATTGTATTGGGACCTTTCAATTACAAGTGCACATGGTCACATATTGTCACGAGAAGTGGTATTCACTGATTCTGTTTAGACCTGACGTTGGCGATCTATATATATAGTACTGTAAGTCCCCATGGTCCCTAGTATGGTGATCTACCTTCAGTTGTTGGCGATCTATATATATAGTACTGTAAGTCCCCATGGTCCCTAGTATGGTGATCTACCTTCAGTTGTTGGTGATCTATATATATAGTACTGTAAGTCCCCATGGTCCCTAGTATGGTGATCTACCTTCAGTTGTTGGTGATCTATATATACAGCTCTGTAAGTCCCCATGGTCCCTGGTATGGTGATCTACCTTCAGTTGTTGGCGATCTATATATATAGTACTGTAAGTCCCCATGGTCCCTAGTAAGGTGATCTACCTTCAGTTGTTGGCGATCTATATATATAGTACTGAAAGTCCCCATGGTCCCTAGTATGGTGATCTACCTTCAGTTGTTGGCGATCTATATATATGGTACTGTAAGTCCCCATGGTCCCTAGTAAGGTGATCTACCTTCAGTTGTTGGCGATCTATATATATAGTACTGTAAGTCCCCATGGTCCCTATTAAGGTGATATACCCTCAGTTGTTGGCGATCTATATATATAGTACTGAAAGTCCCCATGGTCCCTAGTATGGTGATCTACCTTCAGTTGTTGGCGATCTATATATATAGTACTGAAAGTCCCCATGGTCCCTAGTATGGTGATCTACCTTCAGTTGTTGGCGATCTATATATATAGTACTGAAAGTCCCCATGGTCCCTAGTATGGTGATCTACCTTCAGTTGTTGGTGATCTATATATACATAGTACTCTAAGTCCCCATGGTCCCTAGTATGGTGATCTACCTTCAGTTGTTGGCGATCTATATATATAGTACTGAAAGTCCCCATGGTCCCTAGTATGGTGATCTACCTTCAGTTGTTGGCGATCTATATATATAGTACTGAAAGTCCCCATGGTCCCTAGTATGGTGATCTACCCTCAGTTGTTGGCGATCTATATATATAGTACTGTAAGTCCCCATGGTCCCTAGTATGGTGATCTACCCTCAGTTGTTGGTGATCTATATATATAGTACTGTAAGTCCCCATGGTCCCTAGTAGTAGTATGGTGATCTACCTTCAGTTGTTGGCGATCTGTAGCCTGCTTTTATATTGTATCGTCCTGTATAGTTCCTTCATTGTATTTCAAACGCACTAACCCCGCTCTAAATGTAACAAGGCATCTCGTAGTTTTAAATTCTTTATTTCAAAACTATATTGTCAGCTGTCACTTTTGAACTTACTGTACAAACCATAACGTGAATTCTTGTTTAAAAATGTCGAGTAAACGGGTTCTAAAAGTACACACACACGGTTTAAAACAGTTCGGTGCACTCATGCAAAACGTGAATCCATCAGAAAAAAGTACAATTCTGATTTTCGAAGCCCATGCCAAAATTGTCCAATTATAACAACATGACACAAGCTTTATATCGATAACTGTCTTTATTCATCGAGAATAGTTTTAATCGGCGAACAGCTGATTTGATAAAACATGGGGAATCGTCTTACTTTCGCCATACACAATAACGGGCGTCTGAGCTCTGACGGTTATAAATAATTTACAAACTAAGAGATGTATTTTCAAAACACAGTTAAATTTTCTAAATCGCCACTCCTTTGAAGCATATAAAATCATCGATGGTGTCTGACAGTCAAAGATCTTAATAAAGGCATCAGGTGACACTGCTCCGATTTTTCTGAGCTTAACACTTGTCATTACATTAGGCTATTTCCCCCATGTAAGGAGAGGTCGACAAGTGCCTTTCCCAAACTGTAACTACACGTGCATACAAAACCTGACCTAACTATCGCATCAGGTTGATATACCTGGCCCCTGTCCTCAAGGATAATCAGCCTAGAGGCATCTACACTGTGACAATCGATTTTTCCACACAAGTGACCTATGCAAGGCCACTTTTTTACAGAAAGCCCCAAACTTCTCACTCCCTGGCCGCGAAGGTCAAGGACTCATCGGATCATATGCTGTCACTTCATTTTGCCACATGTGGGAGCGTCATTGAAATATACCCATAACAGCATCAGTTTGAGAACTGTGTATGCGTCCGATCAAGGCACATGACTTCAGTGTTGGGAAACATTCTTTCAGTCGGTGAACTGTGTATGCGTCCGCTCAAGGCACATGACTTCAGTGTTGGGATTTCAGTCGATTTCAGCAAATAGCACGTGTCTACGAGCTGAAATCCAGCTAGAAATTATCAAACAGTTTACAGCTGACTAACGTCCACCCAAGCGACTATTGTCGTCATTAAAGTTCCCACCATATTCTAACATTTATATGTACCCGACTGTAACCTACATGAATTGCTTCTTGAAGATATAGCCTTACATCGGTCTACGCACACGAGGATGTCTAAACACTTCTTGCCAATTACCAGTTCTCAAAGTGATTCAGTCTTGCGAGAAGGACACAGAAGCTGTGACAATGGAATGACTGATGAACCAGAAAGTGAAGTGATCGACTGTGCATTTACTGACCCTTTTAAAGAAAAAGAAAGATACCTTACTTATTTAACAAACTATCAGGCAACAACATGCCACCGCACGTTCAAAACGTGGAGTATTTCACAGGCAAATACAAGAACAGATATCACTGATGAAGAAAGACCCACAATGGCTTCAAGTGAAGGTTTTTCAAACAGTATTTACCCGGTGACTGCACCTTCTGGGGCCATGGAGTGCAAACACCACATGTTTGCCATATGCGTGTTTCAATAGACCAATTTTTCTGAAAATAAAACAATCCAATGTCCAAAACTAACGTGTATTGGAGGCCTGACGGTATTCGAAACCAGTATTGGAAATTGTCTCAGTGTGTCCAAAACCTTCGTATTTCACAGCTTAACTTCTCTCGTGGACAAAGTGAATGTTGCACCTTGGTCGTGCATAGGTCGAAAAAAAGTACCTTAGAGGTATTGATATGACTGATCCTAAACTCTCCCGCCGCCCCGAACAAACATTCCAAAATATGTACCGTATGCCTTGCAGATATTGTGAGATTCTCTGTGCAAAACTGCTGTCATACCTTTCATATGCGAGGTGACCTTGTGTTAATTTCCCGTAACCTCACTCTCACTGAAGGTGACAACAACAACGACCGCGTGAGGCGTGTATATATCCCAGACCTCACTCCCACTGAAGGTGATGACAACAACGACCGTGTGAGCCGTGTATATATCCCAGACCTCACTCCAACTGAAGGTGATAACAACAACGACCGTGTAAGCCGTGTATATATCCCAGACCTCACTCCAACTGAAGGTGATGACAACAACGACCGAGTGAGCCGTGTATATATACCAGACCTCACTCTCACTGAAGGTGATAACAACAACGACCGAGTGAGCCGTGTATATATCCCAGACCTCACTCCCACTGAAGGTGATGACAACAACGACCGAGTGAGCCGTGTATATATACCAGACCTCACTCTCACTGAAGGTGATAACAACAACGACCGAGTGAGCCGTGTATATATCCCAGACCTCACCCCACTGAAGGTGATGACAACAACGACCGAGCGTGAGCGTGTTTATATCCCAGACCCTCACTCCCACTGAAGGTGTGATGACAACAACGACCGTGAGCCGTGTATATATCCCAGACCTCACTCCAACTGAAGGTGACAACAACAACGACCGTGTGAGCCGTGTATATATCCCAGACCTCACTCTCACTGAAGGTGATAACAACAACGACCGAGTGAGCCGTGTATATATCCCAGACCTCACTCCCACTGAAGGTGATGACAACAACGACCGAGTGAGCCGTGTATATATCCCAGACCTCACTCCCACTGAAGGTGATGACACCAACGACCGAGTGAGCCGTGTATGTATCCCAGACCTCATTCCCACTGAAGGTGATAACAACAACGACCGAGTGAGCCGTGTATATATCCCAGACCTCACTCCCACTGAAGGTGATGACACCAACGACCGAGTGAGCCGTGTATGTATCCCAGACCTCATTCCCACTGAAGGTGATAACAACAACGACCGAGTGAGCCGTATATATATCCCAGACCTCACTCCCACTAAAGGTGACAACAACAACGACCGAGTGAGCCGTGTATATATCCCAGACCTCACTCCCACTGAAGGTGATGACAACAACGACCGAGTGAGGCGTGTATATATCCCAGACCTCACTCTCACTGAAGGTGACCACAACGACCGTGTGAGCCGTGTATATATCCCAGACCTCACTCCAACTGAAGGTGACCACAACGACCGTGTGAGCCGTGTATATATCCCAGACCTCACTCTCACTGAAGGTGATAACAACAACGACCGAGTGAGCCGTGTATATATCCCAGACCTCACTCCCACTGAAGGTGATGACAACAACGACCGTGTGAGCCGTGTATATATCCCAGACCTCACTCCCACTGAAGGTGATGACAACAACGACCGAGTGAGGAGTGTATATATCCCAGACCTCACTCCCACTGAAGGTGATGACAACAACGACCGTGTGAGCCGTGTATATATCCCAGACCTCACTCTCACTGAAGGTGATGACAACAACGACCGAGTGAGGAGTGTATATATCCCAGACCTCACTCCCACCGAAGGTGATGACAACAACGACCGTGTGAGCCGTGTATGTATCACGACATGATACACAGGAACATAACTCACAGACAGTAGAACGAGGAGACCGTTAATGTAACTATGGAGTCACAACTGACCGGGACAATGGTTCACTGTTCTTGTTGACATTGTGAGCTATGGAACGTGTGTGACGTGGAACGTGTATGCCATGGAACGAGTGTGACGCGGAACGTGTATGCCATGGAACGTGTGTGACGTGGAACGTGTGTAACATGGAACATGGAACGTGTTTGACGTGGAACGTGTGTGACGCGAACGTGTTTCCCATGGAACGTGTTTGCCATGGAACGTGTGTGACATGGAAAGCGTGTAACATGGAACATGTAATGTCTGTTACCTGGAACGTCTGTGACGTGGAATATGTGTGACGTGGAACGTATATGCCATGGAACGTGTGTGACGCGGAACGTGTATGCCATGGAACGTGTGTGACGCGGAACGTGTATGCCATGGAACGTGCGTGACGTGGAACGTGTGTGATATTGTGACATGGAACGTGTGTGCCATGAAACGTGAGTACCATGGAACGTGTGTGACGTGAAACGTGTGTGACGTGGAACGTGTGTGACATGGAAAGTGTGTGTGACATGGAAAGCGTGTAACATGGAACATTGAATGTGTGTTCCCTGGAACGTGTGTGACGTGGAACATGTGTGCCGTGGAACGTGTGTGACGTGGAACATGTATGCCATGGAACGTGTGTGACGTGGAACATGTGTGCCATGGAACGTGTGTGACGAGAAACGTGTGTTCCCTGGAACGTGTGTGGCATGGAGTGTGTGTGACATGGAACGTGTGTGCCATGAAACGTGTGTTCCCTGGAACGCGTGTGCCATGGAACGCATTTGCCATGGAACGCGTGTGACATGGAACGTGTGTGACGTGAAACGTGGGTGCCATGAAACGTGTGTGACGTGGAACGTGCGTGCCATGGAACATATGTGACGTGGAACGTGTGTGCCATGGAACGTGAGTACCATGGAACGTGGTGACGTGGAACGTGTGTGTCATGCAACGTGTGTGATGTGGAACGTGTTTGACGTGGAACGTGTGTGACGTGGACCGTGTGTGCCGTGGAACGTGTGTGATGTGGAACGTGTGTGACGTGGAACGTGAGTGCCGTTGAACATGTGTGATGTGGAACGTGTGTGCCATAGAACGAGTGTTCCTGGAAAGCGTGCGCCATGGAGTGAGTGAGTTAATATTTAACGTCACATCGGCAATATCTCAGCCATATAGTGACGGCGTGTGCCATGGAACGTGTGTACCATGGAAAGTGTGTGACGTGGAACGTTTGTGCCATGGAACTTGTGTGATGTAGAATCTGTGTGCCATGGAACGTGTGTGACTTGGAACGTGTGTGCCATGGAACGTGTGTGCCATGGAACGTGTGTGACCTGAAACGTGTGTGCCATGGAACGTGTGTGACGTGGAACATGGTTGGAGTGGTCAATTTTCGCGACCAACCACCGATATGAACCTAATTTCAACAGCACTGGGGTTGTCAAAGGTCAGCCTCACTGCGTCTGTGCGAACAGTCAGCATCTGTAAAGAAGACATCTCAGTGTTCAAAGAGGTTCAGGTCATGGTGAATATTCAAGGTGCAATGACAAAAAACTCAATCGGAATCCCTCATAGACATGGATCTCTGAAAACCAGTGATTTCATGCATGTTCTGTCCTACGGTGCAGGTTTCGCAAAAAAGAATGTTGGGCAAATACTGTCGTTTTACAACACTTCGGGCGTGGAACGTGTGTACTATGGCCTTTGTAAGCATATTACATTCTGATAAATCGTATTAGTAAAATCCAAAAATGCGTGGTGTTTTGTTTTGTGACTCACACCCACCAATAAAGCATGGTAAAAGTTTCATAAGGAAAAACTCACTCGAAAGTGTGGAAAGAACCAATCAGACTGAGCGGACCCCCCCGTCGCCTCTCGTCCACGTTTTGATCCAGAGCCCACTACCGTCTCTGAGCCAGACACTCGTCGTGACGGAAGACATGTCCTTGTGTATTCGAAGTTCAACAAGATACATAGAACGACGCACCCCAAACTGTTGACGACAAAACGGTGGGATATTTTGAATGTGTCACTCCCGACAAGCACACATTACTGAAACTGCTTGTACGAGTATGGTCTGTTATAAAAGGATAAAGTGGAGAGAACAGCAAACGACATGTACAAGAAAGGTACGATACTTTATGGAGAACAGCTTCTTTATTATATTAGGATGCGACGTTTCGGTATATTTTCTCATACCGTTGTCAAACAAGAGTAAAGTAATACACCACAGAACCGACTTATATACATGCAACATGGATTAAGTAAGACAACATGAGGGTTTGTGTGAAAGGGATTGACAACAACAATGGATATTGGTAATAATGCAGTAACGATTGGAGGAAGCCAGCTGTGTTAGTCGTATTAAATTTATCATTTGTGTCAAAACGTCTTGAAAAAATCGTCACGATGCAACTGATTGACCATTTGCAAAAGCATGACTTATTTGACAAACACCAGTCAGCATATCGGTCAGCAAACATCACTGAGACTGTCCTTAGCTGTTTATATACAAGATACGTGATTCTGTTGACAGTGGAAATGTTGTTGTGTGTCTGTGTGTGTCTATGTGTGTCTATGCTTGCCTTGTTCGAGATATCCGTAGCTGTCGACACAAATGACCACACCTTCCTTCTCAGTCATTTGAAACATTTTTGCTTATCCAATACCGTCTTGCAGTGGTGATCATCCTGCCTGACTGACAGATCACAGTCTGTTCAGATTGACAAAGTTCTTCCTGAACGTCTTACTATCGAGTGTGGGGTTCCACAGGGTTCAGTGCTTGGGCCGATTTTGTTCACCCTTTACACAAGGCCGTTAAAACATCTTTTTACAGGTCAACACGTTGCTTATTACTTTTACGCGGACGCTACACAACTCATGAAACACTTCAACATTCTGCTCGAGACTCAGATGGCTGCTTAAATTTCCAGGGCCAGAACCTTTTCCTATACAGCAGCCACACTGTGGAACTCGCTTCCCCTTAACTTGAAGTTAACCCCTACCTTGCAAGTCTCCACGTCCATACTTAACACCAACTTGTTTCTTCGCTATCAAAATCTTCCCTTTTCAGCTGCACAGTTGTATATATCTACTTCATTTCTCTTTTTTTCTTTTTTAATGTTAGCACTTTGAGCGTGCCCCTCCTTGGTGCGGGACTCAGCCCACTATACATGTTCTTACTAATTGTTTTACAGACTGACGTGAAAATGCAACAGAGAGGGCGCGGGTGATCCTGACATAGTCAGGTGAGCTGCACCTTTAACACACAGCCCAGACATCTTCTATCAGGAAGCGTTGCCGAGTCGAACCCACAAGAACTTTCTGGAGAATATGAAGACTCACCAACTGTGCAGCCTTCTGCATTACCCAGAGTGTCAGAAGGGATGTGCTCCCGATGGAAACCCCGGGAACACTCCTGATCTGCGCCAAGAGATTAGGAGGTACCAAACCAAGGGCACTCTCCTGATGTATTGTTTTAGTCACGGTATGGCCGAAATATCTCCAAAGTGACATTTAACTTTAAACGCACACAGTCACTCATTCTCCTGATACAATGGGAGCCTGAGATACCAGCAAGACATTTCAAATGCGAGGTCCGCATATTCAGCATGCTTTTCCTTAAACTGTTGAGGAGACAAAGTATACATAGTAAATAGGATATATTTGGCAATGACGGCCGGACTGCTCTGTATATAAACACACACACATATATAAAGAGAGAGTTCTCGAAGGACAGATAATGCTAACGGTAAGATTCACCTCAATCCAGGGATTTGCATCATCCAACCTTGGCTTCCAGGCAGCAGCAGATCCTCCAATGGCATTCGTTTCTGGAAAACTGAAATATTAAACGTGATAGAGCGATCCTAACTATATTGACTTGGGAAATGTGAGCTCTATTGTTGCATTGACAAATACGTTCTCATATTGAAGTTTGATATTAACTTCCAAAGTTTGATAATTAAAAATGATCATGCAGGCCTCAAAAGCTCATGAGGCTATGAGATAGTGATGACACGAGACTTGTCAGGGAAACGACCTTACTATAATTCGGGTTGTGCTATCAGCATTTCGTTTTAGGTTTTACCAATGTGTCACGATATCGTGTCGCACTATCGTGTCGTCGCCATAAGGCACGACATAGTATTCAGAGCGCTGCGCGATGTTACAAATCAGCCTTTTAATTAATCGAAGTAATGAGAAAATACTCAAATCTATAAACGAAAACGAAAACAGTTTTTGTTCAAGGAAACTTTATGTAAGAACAACATATTCGAAGGAACGGGAAGCACTGTCGCTGACCAAAAACGTTTTCTACATAATTGGCAGCATTAAGTTTTCGTACAATTGTGGCCTAAATGTCGACGCCATGATGACCCGTGAGACCCTGTGTATGCTGGACTCCCTCTAGTTAGGTGTGTTAACTGTGTACAATAGTGACCTAAATGTCGACGCCATGATGACCCGTGAGACCCTGTGTATGCCTGACTCCCTCTAGTTAGGTGTGTTAACTGTGTACAATAGTGACCTAAATGTCGACGCCACGATGACCCGTGAGACCCTGTGTATGCTGGACTCCCTGTAGCTAGGTGTGTTAACTGTGTACAACAGTGGCCTAAATGTCGATGCCATGATGACCCGTGAGACCCTGTGTATGCTGGACTCCCTGTAGCTAGGTGTGTTAACTGTGTACAATAGTGGCCTAAATGTCGACGCCATGATGACCCGTGAAACCCTGTGTATGCTGGACTCCCTGTAGCTAGGTGTGTTAACTGTGTACAATAGTGACCTAAATGTCGACGCCATGATGACCCGTGAGACCCTGTGTATGCTGGACTCCTGTAGCTAGGTGTGTTAACTGTGTACAATAGTGGCCTAAATGTCGACGCCATGATGACCCGTGAGACCCTGTGTATGCTGGACTCCTGTAGCTGGGTGTGTTAACTGTGTACAATAGTGGCCTAAATGTCGACGCCATGATGACCCATGAGACCCTGTGTATGCTGGACTCCCTGTACCTAGGTGTGTTAACTGTGTACAATAGTGGCCTAAATGTCGACGCCATGATGACCCGTGAGACCCTGTGTATGCTGGACTCCCTGTAGCTAGGTGTGTTAACTGTGTACAATAGTGGCCTAAATGTCGACGCCATGATGACCCGTGAGACCCTGTGTATGCTGGACTCCCTGTAGCTAGGAGTGTTAACTGTGTACAATAGTGGCCTAAATGTCCACATCATGATGACCCGTGAGACCCTGTGTATGCTGGACTCCCTGTAGCTAGGTGTGTTAACTGTGTACAATAGTGGCCTAAATGTCGACGCCATGATGACCCGTGAGACCCTGTGTATGCTGGACTCCTGTAGCTAGGTGTGTTAACTGTGTACAATAGTGGCCTAAATGTCGACGCCATGATGACCCGTGAGACCCTGTGTATGCTGGACTCCCTGTAGCTAGGTGTGTTAACTGTGTACAATAGTGGCCTAAATGTCCACATCATGATGACCCGTGAGACCCTGTGTATGCTGGACTCCCTGTAGCTGGGTGTGTTAACTGTGTACAATAGTGGCCTAAATGTCGACGCCATGATGACCCGTGACACCCTGTGTATGCTGGACTGCCTGTAGCTAGGTGTGTTAACTGTGTACAGTAGTGGCCTAAATGTCGACGCCATGATGACCCGTGAGACCCTGTGTATGCTGGACTCCCTGTAGCTAGGTGTGTTAACTGTGTACAATAGTGGCCTAAATGTCGACGCCATGATGACCCGTGAGACCCTGTGTATGCTGGACTCCTGTAGCTGGGTGTGTTAACTGTGTACAATAGTGGCCTAAATGTCGACGCCATGATGACCCGTGAGACCCTGTGTATGCTGGACTCCCTGTAGCTAGGTGTGTTAACTGTGTACAATAGTGGCCTAAATGTCCACATCATGATGACCCGTGAGACCCTGTGTGCCGCTGGACTCCCTGTAGCTAGGTGTGTTAACTGTGTACAATAGTGGCCTAAATGTCGACGCCATGATGACCCGTGAGACCCTGTATATGCTGGACTCCCTGTAGCTAGGTGTGTTAACTGTGTACAATAGTGGCCTAAATGTCCACATCATGATGACCCGTGAGACCCTGTGTATGCTGGACTCCCTGTAGCTAGGTGTGTTAACTGTGTACAATAGTGGCCTAAATGTCGACGCCATGATGACCCGTGAGACCCTGTATATGCTGGACTCCCTGTAGCTGGGTGTGTTAACTGTGTACAATAGTGGCCTAAATGTCGACGCCATGATGACCCGTGAGACCCTGTGTATGCTGGACTCCCTGTAGCTAGGTGTGTTAACTGTGTACAATAGTGTCCTAAATGTCGACGCCATGATGACCCCTGAGACCCTGTGTATGCTGGACTCCCTGTAGCTAGGTGTGTTAACTGTGTACAATAGTGTCCTAAATGTCGACGCCATGATGACCCGTGAGACCCTCTGTATGTTGGACTCCCTGTACCTAGGTGTGTTAACTGTGTCAACATCTCCAGGTACAAGGACACCTGATCAGAAACAGCCAAGGTTCGGCAGCCCCCGTTAGTTACTTAGGTTGTTTTCAATCGAGCCGTAACCCAGGGGTCACCAGTATCAACCAACGTGTCAACACGATTGCTGCTTTGCAGGTGTTCCGTGGATGAGTGTGACAACACCTGTGTCTGCTGACATGCAGGTGTTAGGTGGGTGAGTTTGACAACACGTGTGTTTGCTGCCATGCAGGTGTTCCGTGGGTGAGTGTGATAACACGTGTGTCTGCTGATATGCAGGTGTTCCGTGGGTGAGTGTGACAACACGTGCGTGTGCTGACATGGAGGGGTTCCGTGGATGAGTGTGACAACACGTGTGTCTGTAGCCATGCAGGTGTTCCGTGGGTGAGTGTGATAACACGTGTGTCTGCTGACATGAAGGTGTTCCGTGGGTGAGTGTGACAACACGTGTGTCTGCTGACATGCAGGTGTTCCGTGGGTGAGTATGACAACATGTGTGTCTGCTGACATGCAGGCATTCCGTGGGTAAATGCGACAACACGTGTGTCTGCTGATATGCATGTGTTCCGTGGGTGAGTGTGACAACACGTGCGTGTGCTGACATGCAGGTGTTCCGTGGATGAGTGTGACAACACCTGTGTATGCTGACATGTAGGTGTTAGGTGGGTGAGTTTGACAACACGGGTGTCTGTTGCCATGCAGGTGTTCCGTGAGGGAGTGTGTCAACACGTGTGTCTACTGATATGCAGATGTTAGGTGGATGAGTGTGACAACACGTGTGTCTGCTGACATGCAGCTGTTCCCTGAGTGGGTGTGACAACACCTGTGTCTGTTGCCATGCATGTGTTCCGTGGGTGAGTGTGATAACACGTGTGTCTGCTGACATGAAGGTGTTCCGTGGGTGAGTGTGACAACACGTGTGTCTGCTGACATGCATGTGTTCCGTGGGTGAGTATGACAACATCTGTGTCTGCTGACATGCAGGTGTTCCGTGGGTAAATGTGACAACACGTGTGTCTGCTGACATGCATGTGTTCCGTGGGTGAGTGTGACAACACGTGGGTGTGCTGACATGCAGGTGTTCCGTGGATGAGTGTGACAACACCTGTGTATGCTGACATGTAGGTGTTAGGTGGGTGAGTTTGACAACACGGGTGTCTGTTGACATGCAGGTGTTCCCTGAGTGGGTGTGACAACACGCGTGTCTACTGACATGCATGTGTTCCGTGGGTGAGTGTGAGAACACGTGTGTCTGCTGACATGCGGGTGTTCCGTTGGTGAGTATGACAACACATGCGTCTGCTGACATGCAGGTATTCCGTGGGTAAATGTGACAACACGTGTGTCTGCTGACATGCAGGTATTCCGGGGGTGAGGGTGACAACACGTGTGTCTGCTGACATGCACGTGTTCCGTGGGTGAGTGTGACAACACCATTGTCTTTTGATATTCAGATGTTCCGTGGGTGAGTGTGACAACACATGTGTCTGTTGACATGCAGGTGTTCCATGAGTGAGTGTGACAATACGTGTGTCTGCTGACATACAGGTATTCCGTGGGTGAGTGTGAGAATACGTGTGTCTGCTGATATGCAGGTGTTCCGTGGTTGAGTGTGACAACACGTGTGTCTGCTGACATGCAGGTTTCCCGTGGGTGGGTGTGACAACAGGTGTGTCTTTTGACATGCAGGTGTTTCGTGGGTAAGTATGTCAGAATGGCCTTTATACCAGCTCTTTACACTCCAGCACAGAACTTACCGTTAGCTGGCTAAAGAATGTGGTAGACTCGATGTGTTCAAACTCTGACAGGTGTGTTTTGGAATACTGACATCAGGTGATCCACACAAGGCATTTCTAATTCAAATCTAGGAGGTAAAACAAACACCTACCCGTCCCGTGTTGACGAAACTCCCAACTTCTTGTATCTGCATGTCAACCAACTCTGTCAGAAAAACGGGGACAGGTAAGTTACACCATAGAACAAGCATTATAAAGTGGAGCATGCTCGACACAGATGTCAGAAAATATGTTTAGAGAGCGACAGTAAATGTAAATGCAATGTTGCATGTTTCGTCATTCCATGACATTCTATGTGCTAACATGGTTTAAAGTTTAAACTTAATCTTAAACTTAAGTTTATTAAAATTTCACATTCAGTTCCCTTAACTCAATGGGATAATGGTTACGGCTGTAGATTTGTGGTCCAAAGTGGGCAGGTTCAAACCCCACTTACACCAACTAAACTTGTTTAACTAATTTAACTAATATACACACTGTATTTAAATTAGCCTCATTTCTAGCACGTGTTTATCATATGGCATCTCTGAAAAAGCACATGATTTAAAAAAGCATGCACATCAGTCTGTACCTGACCACCATGCTAGAAGGTTGTTTCACCTCACTGTATGAGAATCACTGCATGTTAAAAAAGGAGAATACGAGTTAATTGCAACAATTTGATGGGTGAAAGATAAAGTCATCAGAAACATATTCCCAAATTTTCAATTAAAAAATATGTATAATTATGTTTTTATCGCAAAAAAAGTTTCTGTAAATCTTAGTTTCGGCTATTATGCATATTTCGCTGGAGCCTCCGTGACCTTTCCGCTCGTGACGTCAAATGTCCCTGGAGTCCGCCATACTGCCAAAGACCAAGTGCTACAGTAATGGTACGATGGTGTATTGCGTTGCCTGGGGATGCACGGCATCATCGAACATGGGAAATAACCACCATTTCTTTCGTTTTCCAAGTGAAATGACAGATTTCGGCAGGAGAAATGCGCCGATCGCTCCGAGTCGGACGCATATGAAAGAGACATGCACGCATCGGGTATGGAAATCCCCAAGCTAGGCTGAAGAAGGAAAAAGTATCCACGAGATTCATTTATACTCCATCATTCCCTGTAACAACTTACTGTCAGTGGTATTTTTAACATAAATTAAATCAAGTCCGGTTGCCAGTCGAATTGCCCCTGCTACAAAATGATCCAGCAAATTTGGTCAAATTGTTCCAGTGGGGTAGTCAAAATGCCCAAATTTGTTTTAAAATGAATAAATATAGGCCATAAATATAATATTTTGTCAACTTTGATATTATATTCTTCATATAAAAGTATATACATAGTTATGAGCTTACGAATGAAACATTTATCAGAAATATTACTTCCTAATAACTTTCATATGAAAAAGATAATTATCATAATAATTTGACAAAAACTATGTATTTACGGAATATATTCAATCATTATAAATAAATTTTCTGGGGCATTTTGTAGCTGGGGCAGTTCGACTGGTACACATGAGATATATATTATCAAAATCAGTACATGATTTCACGGGAGCTTGAAAATGTTCGCAATAATGTTCGTTTCGGTTTGGAGCCCTAAATGATGCAGTCAACTCGAAACATTGCCGAATACAACGGCAAATCACGAAGTACTTGTTACTTTCATATTTTTCCCTCTTCTCATATTACGCATGTCGGCATCAGACTCGCTAGTTGTGAGTTGTGTGTGCCGTGAAAGTTGTTCTGTATTCTCCTTGGCCGACAAGATGTCATTCTAAGATTATGTCCGAGTACCATAACTATTTCCATAACCTGACAATGGGGAAACACTATGTCCTGACTAGTATTTTATAATTCACCAGTTTTCAGGGAATAACTTATCTGCGTCGCGAAAATTATCTCTGCTCGACCAGGCTGGGATCTTGTATCGAGACTACGTTATTAATGAGAACTAGGATAGTGAACGAAATCATTCCAGTGTAATTTTCGAAGCAGATAATTTCTATTTTCCCCTTCTGAGGCATAAATATTTTGTTTCAATATCCCAGACTCCCTACAGTCACCAAAAGAAATGCAATCACATTTTAAAAAACATAATTCTTAGGGACTGGTCATGTTTCCTTTCGGCTGGGTTTGCTGGTTGGAGCTGTATCGCATTTTTCTGACAATTAGTATTTTTGCTAAATGATATAGTATATTTTAAAATATATTTTGACCTCAAGCGATGCCTCCGTTTAAGCAAATCATCTTCTTCATCTTCACTGGAAGATTGTCTTGCAAGATGTAAAATCGGATCGTATTGATACAGTCTAACATTCATTTCAGAAATGACACCAGGAACATCTTTTACTGCTTCAGAATCCACGGACACTGTTAAGTTGTGAGGTAAAATCACAGAGGAAGCCATAAGCAACAGGCACTGATGACGTCATGTCACGTGATACCCCCTCTGCTCATTCACTGTCGGGTTTTTCCGTAATAGGCGGAACTATGAGTACGTTTGTGTGTTTTAATTGCTATTTTACAAACTCTTTGTTCAATTTTAATCACGGAATGTGACTTTTAGAATATCCTTTACAATATATCAAAAGTTTGGTTTTCGTTCGTATTCTCCTTTAAAGTGCATTAATGAGCAAAGATTATGGAATTGTTTTGGCTCATAAGGTATTTTTAACCTCATCAGAGTGAGTTAGTGAGTGAGTTAAAATTTATCGTCACATCGGCAATATTCCAGCCATATCGTGACGAGAACAATTAATTTTATACATAGTAATTAATGGTAATTGTAAAATCCTGTCAACAAAGGACAGTAAAATAACTAGATTATCATAAATTCGAATTTAAATCTAGTAATTAGATGTATAACAGTATATAGATGACAACACAATATGAAACAGGCTATATATTGCCAACAACTGAATGTAGATCACCATACTAGGGACCATGTAACCTCACCAGAGCTCATCAGATCTCATCAATGCTCATCAGTTGTGAAAGTGTTCACATCCGACCTAATTTGTTGTAAAAGTTCATCAGTCTGTGCCAACGTTTCAAGGATGTCCTGTGTCGAATCGATAAATTGTAATCTGACACAGATGTAATAAACTCTGATGTGAGTATCGGATCATGTTGTTCTTGTATCTGCAATAAATATCACCTGACTGTCTTTTTTTTGATATCAAATATATCACCACGCGTTGATAAAGTTACAAAATGTCAGGGGGCTTTTCGAGGGCATTTTATGATTTATCAACGAGTGGTGATATATTTGATTCAGAATGCAAAGAGGATGAGATTCTATTTAGCATCAAAATCACTCTCCATTGGTTTTCAATAAAAAATGTAACACAGTTACAGTGCAACGGTGTCCTAGCATTATGACGTCATCAATTCATGACGTCATAGCATTGTCAGAGCAATGTACAAAATCTACTGTCAAAATGATATCTCCTAGGAGATACCGTTTGATTTCACACAAGTGATTTCTCTTGTTGAACACAGTTATGTTACCCATGCTGGTAGGCGATCGAGGTATGACACTGCTACAAAAAAGCCGTACATCAAGCTGTATTACCCGAGGGAAACGTTTACTGCGTATTTATCTCACCGCCATGTTAAATGTACAAAATATCATTTTATTTTATTTTGAAGATCGATAAGCTCGCTACCGACTATACGACATGTAAACAAAGTGGCGCTGTCTCTCGACTTGAGGTTTAAAATCATTGAAACATATTGTGACAAGCTTAAAGGGGCACTGATCCGGAGCAATTTCCGTGGACTGGTTGTTTTTCTCACTTGAGTACCCGGATGATATCCCCAAATTCTTGACTGGTCCATAACCTCTTGTGTGCAACCCGCATGGGCAATCATTGATAGTATACATATAGAATGATCAACGAACATGAAATCTGTTTTGCCCGATAATATTTCCATCTTCTTTATAATAATAACAAATGAAAATATTTTGAAGTTTAACCATCTGCCTTGACCAGTGGTTACAAATGTTAAGATGAAAAATAACAAAGTCATGAACGTCTTTTTGTCTTATAGTCCTAATCCGATTATTATCATATCTGTATGCATTTTGAAACTTGATAAAAGGCACAAGATCTGCTTATACTTATACTGAATTTATAACATGCCTGTAATATCTAGACTGCCAACATGAATAATATTTCACACACACGCCCAAAGTGCGACATTGTGTATGTTGTCTGTCTCATTACACTTCACGGCGAAATGATTCTGCTAAATGCTACAACAAATGAATAAAAAGAAACTACAATCATTAAAATTAAAACAGACTAAAGTCATAGATAGCAACATTGTCAGGCAATTACCTTATTCGAGGAATGTATCCACCAATATCCACATAAAAACATGATATCCCATTCCTCTCTGCAGCTGACAAAGAACCCTGTTCCATTCCATGTGTCGTTTAACAGTCTAATATGCAAAAAGCGGATAGACCGTTTCACGGTTTTTACATTGGTGTATAGTCTCATTGGTCACCCAAGATAGCACACCTGGCAGCTAATTGCATGATGTCCGCCAATCTTCAAAAACGTAATTTAGTTAGTCAATAATGAGCAATCAATCAACGTATTGGGAGTTAATCCTTTGAAGGAGGGACGTTGTTTTACGTTGGTTTTGCACCTCCATGCGCATATTACATACATTTTATAATCTTGGGTATTTACTCCAGACACGAGAAATGCCAAACGGGTACCTCTGTCGGGTAATCTGAGTGGTGCTACCACTAATTATACCTGTTATACATTCATTACCTGACCATCAAGTGAATGAGGGCAATAAATATGTAGGTTTATACCACCAAACACGGGTTGCAGCAAGAGAGTAGTAATCGCTGTTTTGCATGCAAATTTAATTGCCTGAAAAAACTTATGGGCCGACACTGTTTTGAGGATACGAACGGAACTTGATTGTTGCACAAGAAAAAAATAGAACCATTTGCTGTGTTCTTAAGTTAAAAACTGTACATACCTATTTACCTAAATAAATATTCCGATTTTTCTAGCAATGGCAAAGTGGGGGTGTTTAGTATACCACCCAGGCAATCTGAAAGAGCCTACAATGCTGGGGTCCTTTATTACAATCATACAAGAA